TATCTGAATTGCGAAGTCGTTTGGTGAGTTTTCCGAGTTGTGGGGAAGCGGCAGAAACTGTAAACAAAACGGGAAAGATGGCGGCCCAGCAGAGAAAGCTTAAAACGAAGCCGGGCGGGCAGAGTCCAAGACCGGAAGAGGGAGCAGATGTCCTCAAACTCCTGGCGGATATGCTCAAGCCGGTGATGGAACAACTCTGGGGAAATAGTGATAAGATTCTCGAAGAGACATTTGAGGGATGCAATCCTGAAAGCGGCATCTTGATCACCCATGAAAGTTGGAGACAATACTATCAGGATTTTAAAAGACATTCCATTTGAAATAAGACAAAGGAGGAAGAAATACAAAGACTTAGTTCTTTTTCTTCAGACAAATGCAATTGGATACAGATGGCTAACTCCAGAAGGCGTCACCTTCAAAATCAAGGACAAAAAAGAGAAGATTGACTCTGCGCAGAAAGCATGGGAATTTTTGAGAATCCAGTTGGGAGAGCCAGAGGAGGAAGAAAAAGAAGGGATGGACAGTAAGTCCAGTGGCGAGCTGGACTCGGGATCTTCTGGAGAGGACTCTCTATTAGAGAAAGGGGCAGCAGCCCCTAAAAGTCCTTATAAATTGCGGAAGAGACAGGGAAAGGGAAAATGAAGGCTGAAAGACTCTGAATTGTGCCTTTGAAAGTATTGAAACTAGATGCTGAGGGGTCTTACCTGTTAACAGTTAAGTTTAAGTTCTGAAAGAGATAATATGATATGTAACTCAATTCATAATGGTACTAGCGTGATTAAGAGATAGTGTATATTTAAGCTAATTTGAAGATCTCCGCTCTTGGGGTTTTAGTCAGTAGTGGGATCCTACCTAATATTTCTCTGAGTTTTTGCTTTCCTGAAGTCCAGGATACGTCCTACTATGTCCTGGTTTCACATCCTTCTCTATGTCAAATTCCAAGCTGACATGGTCACTATTCCCCAAGGATCCCACAACGTTCACTTCATCAATCAGTTCTTCCCTGTTAATCAGGATTAAATCTAGGATAGCAGATCCTCTGGTTCCCACCTCCACCTTCTGAGAGATGAAGTTGTCCGCAAGACTATTCAAGAATCTGCGGGATGTCCCAAGTCTAGCAGAGTTAGATTTCCAGCAGATATCTGGATAGTTGAAATCTCCCATAACCACTACATCCTGTCTCTGTGAAAGTTTAGCAAGCTGTTGTACAAATGCATCATCCAGTTCCTCCAGTTGGTTCAGAGGTCTGTAGTATACCCCCACAACAATTGCATCTCCACCAGCTGGACCAAGGGACTTGAAAGTGTGGTGCTCTGAGTTGGTTTAGCAACGGACCTTAATTCAAAAGGCTCTAGTTAAAGCAAAGGAGGATTACAAAACTCAGGCTGACAAAGACAGGTCACCAAAGTGGGACTCTGTGTATGTATCCACAAAAAATCTGAAGGGCCTGCAACCTGGGGAAAAACTGGGGGGAAACTCCACCAAGTAGTGGAGGACATCCTAGACTCTAAGATCAAGAGGGGTCACCTGTACTATTTAATCAAATGGTATTTTGATCTTAGTCATAATGAGTGTGTTCGGGAAGATCATGTGTGGGCCAAACAATTAATTTGTGCTTTCCACCACAGACATCCTCACAAGCCTGGGGACTGAGGGGTGGCCTTGGGAGGGGCCATATTAGTGACCATATTGGTCAAGCCATATTGGTGAAACATGGAACATATTGATGAAGCAGGCAATCCTGTAGTTCTTCTTTTGGAACCATTCAAGTGTTCCCCTTTTGGAACTGTTGGAGTAGATATCTTCTGGAAGCTCATTTCCCCCCTTTACACTCTGAAGTATACTGTTCAATAGGAGGGACTGAACACTTTGGAGTGTTTTGGACTTGTGAGCCATGTACAGGACACGTTAAATCTTTTATGCCCTGATTATGAATTGTGTATTATATGAATAATTTTGCTTAAGATTTGGAAACTGTATAAATGGTTGTATAAATGGAAATTGTATAAATATAATTGTATAAATAAAAATCATGTATTGATTTTTGAAATTGGTATTGACACCACACATAGTTAATTTCTTTGTGTTCACATCATCTGAAGCTTGACATGTGGCAAACTAAAAAGGGGCCTTCTTAGTTGTAGCACCAAAACTACCCAGGAAAATAGTGTGGGTGGGTGCGCGCACACACACACACACACGTAGGTTTTTAATGACTAACTGCTTGCAAATCCAAGGTCCCTAATTGGGTTGAAAGGCATGATAAAAACTTTTAAAAATAAAATAACAACCGAAATGCTACTCCCCTATGAGGTTAGTTAGCCTGACAGTGTGCAACTAGCCCAAGGTCACTCAAATGATCTTCAAACCCTTGCCTCAATGTCTGATAACAGTAACACACTGGCACTAGGAGTGTGCATTTCACATAAGCCGAACCGAATAAATACCCCAAAAATACCTTATCGGTATTTGGGGGGGATTTATTCAGCCAAATCAGATCCTCTAATCTGATTCAGCTACTGATAAACTGAGCCCGAATAAAAGTTGATCTTATTTGGCTTTTATCCGGGTGCATTCAGCTACACCGAACTGCCAGCCATTTAACAGCTGAGCTGTTTGGTTTAAACGCCTGCATCCGTCCGCTATCAGTCTGAAATGCCAAGAAGCCATTTGAGCAGTCTGTTTTGCTTCCCCCCACTCTGTAGGGTGGAAGCAAAAGGGAGGGCTGAAATGGCTTCCCCCCATTCAAAAGGTTCAGCACAAGTGGGTTCGCCTCTCAGCTGATCTTTTTAAATGGCAGGCAGATATTCAAGCTCTGGAGCAGGGGGGGGGCAAAACCGAGGGGTTGAATATCTTCCACTTGAAAGGATCAGCTGAAAGGCGGACCAGCTTGTGCTGAACATTTTAAGTGGAAGCCTTCAAACCCCTGGGTTTTGCTCCAACCCGCTCCAGAGCAAGGGGGGAGCAAAACCAAGGGGTTGAATACCTCCCACTTAAAAGGATCGGCCGATAGGTGGACCCACCACACCAGTCCTTTTAAATAGGAGGAAGCTGCCTTGACCTGGACAGCCCAGGCAAGCCCAATCTTGTCAGATCTCAGAAGCTAAGCACGCTGACCCTGGCAAGTATTTGAATGAGAGACCTCGAGAGAATACCAGGGCCAGGAGGCCAGAAACAGGTTATTAAGCCACTTCTCTGAACATTCTCTGTGCCCCAGTAGATGTCGCCAGAGGTTGCCATGACTTCCGGGCATGGGCACACACACAAAATACAAAAATACTCTGTGTGTGTGTGTGTATTCTGTCAACAGCACAGAATTTTCCCTGTCACTGCACTCTGAGTAAAACAAAATTTCCTCATTTACCCTTCTCACTGTGTCCTCCTTCAAGCAACATCCTACACTCTTTGCCACCTTTTTGCCATCAGGTTTCTGCCTCCTTTACTGATCATTTCCTTCAAGTGCACATTTCAAAGCCTGCTCAGTCCCATCTCCTTCCACTGAGCTCTTACTCAGCTTTCCAGTTGTTAGGTTCTGGGCTGTGGACCTGTTTTGATCAATGCTGACAAACACTTAAGTTTTCCATCCATTCAAAGTGTTTCAATTCCTGCACACAAGGTATGCTCTGACTACTGGCGACCCAATCACTTAGAGCTATGGAGTTAAATACAAAAGAAATAGGTTCATGTATGCCCAAAAAAAAAAAACCCTAATGATTTAAAAAGAGCGGAGTCATAACATACTACAACTTTTGATGATGGTACTGATGAATTTGAAAGCGAAAGTTCCTCTGTTTATAGTGATCTTTATGTGCAACTATCATGGACAGCAGTCATATCAATTAACAAGTTCCAGTCTACCTCCCGGCATCAGCAACCTCTACTCATGCAACCCAGACCTATCAATCATGACACACAGTGACAAAATAAAATATTCATGCCCCATAGATATAATGCATGAAAAAGTGTTTGTAGAAATAGCAGTCATTTACAATAGCACCTGAAGTTCATTAAAAGCAGGTGCCTGATGAAGCAGGGTGGAAAGGGAATCCCACAGGCCAGATGCCACCATGGAAGCAGCCTTGTCCCTTACAACTGCCCCCTCTCTCTCAGGGACATCCAGTGCACTACTTCACAGAATAATCTCATGGCCCCGGTGGAGTCCAAATGAGAGCAGGTGGTCCTCAGTTATCATGATCCCAAGACATTCAAAGCATTAAACCAGCCCTTTGGAAACTAACTGGCAAAGCTTTTAAAGTACTATCAAGGTATCTTGCATTCTACCCTTACCAGCTAGCAGCCTTGCGGTCTACATTCTGAACCAACTGCAGTTTCCATGAAGCCTTCAAATCAACTCCTGTGCACAGAGCTGCAAGTGATTCAGCCAGATCACACTGCTTATAAAATTACTGCACAAAGACATTGGCCTAACACTTGGAGAATGCAGTCACAGACTTCATGAAGTCCCTGTACAACTCATATTTATACCCACAAATATTTCTCCCCCTGTGCAAAAAATTATAAAGGAGTGTTTGAAAGAAATCTCTTTTTACTCTGCTGCAGAAACCAGCAACCTCTTAAGCCATAAATACTTTCAAAGAAGAACCCTGGCTGCTGTAGGGATCTAAAGCAGCACTTACTGCAATTTTTGTACAGATAATAGAGACATGCACGCATGTACAGACACATAGAAGCAAACTGCCTTATCACTTGTTCACAACACACACAAGACTGGCAAACCTGAACCATCAAATGCTCTTTTTGTCAAGCCTTACTGGGGGGGGAGGACAGAGAATATATCAGAAATGCAATAGCTCCCTTTGTCATCTAAAAATTACTGGATAACAGTACTATGGGCTAAGTGCTATGGATATCTATTCTACCCTATCAAGACTGAAATTGTCAGTCACTCATTAGGAATGAACTTTGCATCCAACAGGAAGCTATGTAATTCCACAAAAGGAAGGTGTGTGTGTGTGTATTCAGCCACACTTTACACTCACCTTCCACAGTCTGACCTTCCCTTTTCAGCATCTGGACAGCTCCGACATATTTCTTTAGTTGTACTTTTAGGACCTCATTTTCTCTAAGAGGACAAGAACAATAAAGAAAATAATATTGTTGCTTCAAAAAAAGGCACATACATTCTGAACCAATATATAAAATAATGCTACAAGCCACCTTGAGCCAAGAGGAAAGACAGGATACAAATTTTAATAAACCAACTAACCCCAAATTCTCTGCTACCTGGATATTTCATATGCTAGAATACCTGACTGTACCGTACTACTTAGCCCAGTAAGTGCAAAACCATCCCTCCAGCACATGGAGTCTTCTGATGGAAGAGGAAAAGGAGTTTCCTACAGTGTAAGACTTTTTACTTGGCTTGGTTTCACCAGCATGAAACTCTGGTGCACATGAACAGAAGCTGCAGCTAAGAGGGAGCTGTGCAAATCAGCATAAGGCAATAGGTACAATTAATTGATACAATCAACTCAGTCCCAAGCCTCCAGGAACTACTATGTGCACAAAAGTATGTAGCTCAGACTTCTACAGGAATGTGCTACTTCCAACACTATAGGGAACGGAAATCTGGAAGATGTTGGAAGTAGGTATACACTGGACCATCTGGAGAGTGCATGCGTGTGCATTAAGATAGTATTCATCTTTTGCTTCCTAGGGCAGCCTGCAAAGGCTAGGATCTTCTGCCTTCTTTCTACTTGCTTTTATCTTCACCTGTCAAGGTGATGGTTCTTTGCTCTACATGAAGTATTTTTCAGCCCCATAAAAAGACATTTGCTCTTCCCCGAGTGGAAGTGCCTAGCACTCAAGGAAGGCACACTCCACAACGGAGGACAACCTTGACAATGGACAAACAGGAATGCTAGTGGAAAGGTAGTATAGAATCCAAGCCACAGTACATTGCAGGCCAACCTAAAAACTTAAGAGCTTAAGACAACTATTGCATAGTATTACCATGTGCAGAGAGAACTTGACAGCATCATGGGTAGACACACCGGTACAAAGGTTACAGAAGTAGGATAACTACAGACTGATTCAGATGACCTAAGCTGCAGCTGGTGCAAAATGCGGCAGCGAGGCTGTTGATGGGTCTCCCTATGCGAGAGCACATTCAGCCTGTGCTGAAGGCATTGCACTGGCTGCCAACAGCATACCGGATTCGCTTCAAGGTGCTGGCTTTGACCTTTAAAGCCCTTTATGGTCAGAGACCTGACTACCTGAGGGACTGCCTTTCCTCATATGGTCCCCAGAGAGCACTACGGTCAGGGTCACAAAATCGTCTGCCCCCCCCCTGGTCCTAAGGATGCCAGGCTGGTATCAACCAGGACCAGGGACTTTTCTGTGGCAGCTCCAACCTACTGGAATGAGCTTCCGGATGAGATCAGGGCCCTGCGGGACCTTTCTCAGTTCCGCAGCGCCACAAAATTGGAGCTCTTTTGCTTGGCATTTAGGTAAGGAGCTGTGTGACCATCTGTGTACTGTGCCAATTCTATTTCCAGCCTGAGTCCGCCAAGAATGGATGTACTGATGAATGCACTTTACTATAGCTATACCACCATTGTCATGTTAATGGTCTAAATAATTTCTGTGTATTTTATATCGATATTTATATTGTTGTTCTACTGTTTCCTCTGTAAGCCGCCCTGAGTCTGCTTTGGCAGGGAGGACAGGGTAAAAATCAAATAAATAAATAAATATAAATAAATAAATAAACTATATATGTCACAAGTAATGTAATGTTATGTTATTAATTTAAAAAAATTAAAAAGACACTGAGGGAGCATGGAGTTATCCTTACTGGCCCGAATCCAGCCTCCAAGCATTCACTGTTGAGCATTATTCAGAGCACCAGATCACAGGGAGACTTGACAACCTGTATGCATGTGTGTAAGCTCTGTTTACAAAGGAATAATACAACACAGATATGTTGGGGCCATATTCCTCCACCCTAATCTTACCCCTTCATGTGCTGACAGCATAATCTAAGTGTACGAAGAAGGCTTACAGTTAACACGTCAAAAGCATGGCTGGTGGGTATTACGGTTCTGCACAAGTGTGAGATTTAGTAACGAGTGCACAGTTTAACATCTGATAAATCTCCTCTTTATACGAAGTAGGTTTCTTGACTGGGAAGGTATGTTTGAAAGTCCTGCTTGGCCCCATCTGGTTCCTTAAATTATCCAGTATACTTTCACATTTGTGAGGCTCTCTGAAAACTTCCCTATAGCCCTCTGAAAACCTCTCTTGCCTTCATAATAACAATGCTTAGTGATACACAGGGCCTTCAAAGTGCTTCACATAGACTGCAATCCTTAGAACAGCCCTGTAAGACAGATCCAGCATCACTGTCATATTACAGATGGGGAGTTGAGGCTTGAAATTGGGACCTTTGTAATCAATTCAGAGTAGGAGATGCAAACGAGCTATCATCAGCAAACGTTGCAAAGACACACAGGTCTAATTAACAAGCATAAGTCACACATAGAACGTAAGCTACATATATTACGGCCAGGGCTATTTTTGGGCCGGAACGCACCGGAACAGCATTTTAGCTGGCGTCTGAGCCCACCCCACCCCTCCCCTCCCGGGCTGAGCAAGAGCGCTGCTATCGCTCCCCACCCCTGCCGGCCCTTGCCGTCCTCTTCAGCCTGGGGTGGGCTGCTACTCCACGCAGGCCCCCCCCCATCCTGGGCCCTCTCCCCCCACCAGCAGCCCTGGGCCCACCACCCCCGGAGAACGTGCGCTTCCTGGCCCACACCTTCCGGCACCTGCTCCTCTGGGAGCCTGGCCACGGTGGCGCCTCCTCACCCGGCCTCCAATGTGCAGCACAACAAGCAGTAAGCCCTGGCCCGCCGCCACCTCACCCCCGCCAAGCCCTCACGACGGGCGTGCCTAAGAGTCTTAAAATGCTGGCTGAGTGTGTGTGTTTGTGTGTGTGAGTGTGTGTGTGTGTGTGTGTGTGTGTGTGAGAGAGAGAGAGAGAGAGAGCGCATAGGTGCAGACTGGGGGGGCTCACCCCCCGAAATTTTCCGGGGAGACTGACCCTCCCCCGGAACAACCAGTATGGGTAGGCCTTAAAGTGGGGGCAGCCATTTCAGGCACCCTTTAGCTTTCCCCGCTAAAGAACGGGAGGGAGAGAAGGAGAGACTTGAAAATTTAGCTGCCTGCCCTTTAAAGCATGTGGCCTGGCGGGTCCGCCTGCCAGATGCTTGCTTTAAAGCACGGGCAGCCAGTTCAGGGCACCCTTTTGCTTCCCCCTCCCACTAGTTCGCACATGTTCTCATCCCAGCAAAGGGGAGGGCTGGAAGCCGGGCTGCCCACTGGCATCAGAGTAGTGATGAAAGCAGCTGTACCTGTGCCGCAGCCACTGGGCTTTGCCCTCCGCCGCTCCCTCCTCCAGCGCCCAGCCTCGTTGCAAAAGGAGGCGGGCAAGGGTGGAAACGCAGCATCGTTCCAAATGCCAGTGGGGACAATTCGCACTGCGCCCAATCTGCAGGCTCGGCTAGATCAGGCCGGTGTAGCACTGCGCTGCGAAGGAGAGCGTGAGGTGCCTGGGGGCGGGCCAGAAGGCCAGGTGCCTCCACCAGGCGGCAGCCAAAGTCAGGCCGCGGCCGTCGTCCCCAGTCCACTGAACTGACGGACCCCTTCGTCGGGCCTGCTGCAGAGCAGAACTCCACTTCGCCACCTCCTTGTGAGAAGGGGAACTATCGCAGAAAAGTGGGGCGCAGGTGATAACCTGGCAGTAACACTTGCGTGGTCTGAGGCTCATTGATTTAAAAAGATTGAATCATATGTGGGTTAAAAGATTGTGAAAGTCAAGGCAGGGGGGACCTGTCTGTTTGTAGCTATGGCATAAAGACTACAGATTACACTGCAGAAAATAAGATCGGAGTCTTTAACAGAGGGAGCTCAAGCATTAGCTGGGAACGGCAGCAATGAAATGAAGGGCTGCCTGGGATGCCGCATTCATCACTGTAAGACTGTTAGGTAAAGAGACCCCGGTGGGGTGACTGCATTAAGTCTGTTGTCATGGGGGGGGGGGAATCAGGAGTCTTGAGCCGGTGAGTCACTGAGGGGGGT